TCTGACTGCTGATTTAAGTCTCCTTAATTAAGTGTGTATGTTCTGGAGCCTATATAGGAAAAGATAAAGTTCTTCTAAGGAGCAGCTAATAAGTACAGGAACAGTATCTACATTGCATCTAAAGCATCAAGGAATGTAATGGCTCATGAGGTTAGAAGGCTGATGAATTGGCAGCCTTGCATTCCAGACAGGTTGCCACTGCAGAGCAGGGTGAGCTCCCATCACATGCTCCAGCTCCCCCTTCCCAACCCAGCAGTTCAAAAGCAGGCAGGTGACCGCAAGTAGATAAATGGATACCACTTTGGTGGGCAACTTCACAAAAGGAGCCCCCAAATGGGTGTCGCCTGCTGGTGATCTCACCAACAAATCTTTTCACCACAGAAGCACTTTGGTGTTTCCAACACAGAAGTATTAGTATCCAAAGCACCCTTGTCCACCCTTGTTCAGATACTAAATATTGTTTTTTTGTAAAATTGTGTATTATAATGTCTTAATTCTTAGCAAAGAAATTCATACTAATGACCAGATCATGAGAATAGTTAGTTTTCTAAACTTGAGTGTACTGATATTTTCATTTTTCTTTCAAATGTGATATCTATATCCAGTTACCCACCAATCACTACAAAAGTGATTTTATTTTGAATTCTGCTCCTCTAAACTAAAACTGGCTATTATTTAGTTTATACTTCAGTCATCCCATAGTATATGAAACTGATTCACACTGAATTAGCCTCTTAAATCATTTTCTTTAGAATGTTTGGAATCTTCTAAATCCAAGGCATGTACTCTTTACTGAGCACTCAAACTTTCCCACTGCATGTACCTTGGCAAAAGTTCCTGCAACAAATATTGGCATCAACATATGAATTAATGTTCAACTATTTCCTAATTCTTCTACAACTCAAATTAAATCGTATGTGTGTTTTTTAAAGAAAAGAAATAATGGCGGTAATGGCAGTGGCTAAATTGCCATGATAGTAACATAGTTGCATACCTCTGTCAATAATGAAACTGAACTAGTCCAATGTCAGCATTGAGCATGTAAGAATAAAATCAAAATTAGAAAGTATTTGTTACTAGAAATGTTTTTGTCATCCAGTACAAATTAAGTCTCCAAAATGAAACACAGCAATTATATACATCAATTGCTTATATATTGTAAATATGAAAAAAATCACCATGATTACAGTATACTTTATATCTGACACAAAACTAATCAATTCTATGAGCTTTCAAAGTAGATGTGTTCAAAGTAGGTAGTGTTCAATTATTCAGTTAAAGGGCTTATTGATGTCAATAGATGACTGCAGGAAATGAATCCTCTTAGTGGGTTAATGTAAAACAAAAAGCACTGGTCCATTCAGAAATTGAGAACCAGATGTTTTCACATTTTAGTGTTGTCTAAAGTGTTGTCTATCATTAAGAGCAAGTAAAAGATTCCTCATCACTTATATTCGTATGTATCTCTTCCTGGATAATTCTTTTTTTAAAAAAAAAATTCTTGTAATAAAATGGGAACCCTTAATTATGACTAACTGAAAGGGAAGCAGGTTTATATAGCAAGTTTAATTAAAGTTAAATTAATAATTAACTTTACATGCTGTAATACAATAAATGTATTGTAGTGTTGAGTCCCAAAATACATAGTTTCACATTCCATGTCATTATTTTACTTTCTATATACAGTTTAATAAGCATAGCCTATTCTTAAATTATAGCTGTTAATCTGCAGCTATGTTTTGTAAACCTATGTCTTATATCTTATGCTGGTCAGTGATGAAAAACATGTGGATGGAATTTACAAAACAAAGATAAAGTCAGAAGTACTCCATTAATCAGTAATCCACCAATTAAAGAAGCATTTGGGAACTAAATGCTAAGCTGATATATTCCAAAATCATGCCTCTTTCTAGGTACATTTTTTAATTTAACCTCTCTCTTTCCCTCCACCCCCCCTCTTCTAAGAATACCTTGGAAGTTTATGTGGAACTCAAAGCTTTTACCTAACATTTGAGGTTAGGAGTAACCTAACTTCTCATGAGAGAAGCTGTGTAAGAATTCTATTTAGACTGCAACAATCCTGAACAGTGGAAAAAGAAAACAGAACATCCATACAGCATTTTTTTTAACAAAATGGATATCCACACAATATCAAAAACTGCTTGACCACTCAACCCAATATAGTACAAGCAACACAAGCTGTAAAAAAGATAACACTGTCATACATCAAAAACATCTGAGAAACCACCAACACTGTTATGACCACATAGAATCAGTGCAGCATCCAAACCAACTAAAGCCCTCCAAAATATGAGTAAACCAAAAGACCCAGCAGACCCAGAAGAAAAAAACAGGAGTTATCTACGACATTACAGTGTAAGGACTGCAACAGCTACTATGCAGGACAGACAGACAGAAGACTAGCAGAGCACAGCCATGAACACCAATTAACAGTCAAAAGATATGATGAAAACTTTTTAATTTCACAACATATGGACAGACTTAACCATAGTTTCAACTGGGAAATGGTGACCATCCTAGACCATGCCAAGTTAAAAACACTAGGAAACTCCTGGAAGCCTGGCACTTTGACAAACTGGCCATCACAGACACCTAGACATAAACAACATCTATATACCACATCTGTATACCATGCAAAAGGGACAATCAACAAACAAAAAGGGAACAAAAACACCTCCCCAACAGCAATCAATACCCAGATGAGAACAGATTAACATTAACATTAACATCAGAGCAACAATCAAGAAGTAAACAATACCCCAATCTAGGAACTGCCAAACAAGCTAACAGTAACAGCCCAAACAAAAAATCATCAAGACCACTCCCGCCAACACTGACAGGACAAGGCACTAAAATATAAATTGAGAGCAAACTCCACTCCTTATTAACACTGATAATTGATTATCACTGATTACCCAACACTAGTTTGGGTAATGAAATGTCTACCAGAAAACAACCAAACGCAGGGAGCACTAAGAACCCATCACTCAAAAGTTTTGTTGGAAAATCAAGTTCTGGTTGAGCCTGGTGCTTTGTTTTGCAGCATGCTAACTTCCCATTCATTTTCTAAGTTAAAATAATCTAGAAAGTAAAATTAGACAGGAAGGTTACTGAACACTAAAACTGGGCTGGTGGAATTTCTCTAGATTCCAGGAGTTACACTGGGGATTCAGAGCTTTCTTTTCCTTTCTTGATTAATATGCTTGTAATGGAAGGGTTTTTTTAAAAAAAAAAAGTTCAGAAAGGAATGGAGAAGTACACGCATTTGTCTTCCTTCCCTTCTACCTCATTACCCTGTTGTGCTGGATTTCTTGAAACCTCCAATATTACAGCACACCAAGAAGATACATTGTATTCCTCAGTTACTAAAAGTAACACAGACTCCAAATTCTTCATTTAAACTACTTCTAGCTTTGAATTCATCCCACATCTCTCCTAATAGTCCATCTGGCTGTGCTATTAATGGAATCTAATCCATCCCCTCCCCCCATATTAGTCAGGATGACAGTCTGAACTGTCACCTTTAGGATATGAACACTTCCTTCCTACAGCTTTGAATATAAAAGCATCTTCTAACTTTTCTTCACTTCTAATTTCAGATACAGTATTTCTGCAAGAGCTGCCTGAGATGTGTTGATTAGTTTTCTTAAACTGACAACAATGTGCAAAATCTTTCACAAAGTCTGCAATTTCTTTTCTAATGTATAGTACTTGTAGATTTAGTTTTCTATTTTCTCTCTTGTGATCAGTAGTGTCTGGAGCTATTCCATATGTTGACAATTCCTGCCCTAAAATAGTGTCTGCTCTGATTTTGCAGAAGCAGCATATCTTTCATTCACATCCTGTTCCCCTTAATTCACCTTTAACCAATGCAGTACTATTCTAACTTGTCCCTTTTCTTATAAATTAGATTAGCAAAATCCATAATTCAAAGTGAATTATTCCCATATCCTTTGGCCTTACCATCTTCCTATTCATCCAGCTACCACTGAATTCATGCAACTCCTATCTCTGCAACCATAGAGCATTATGATTATCAAAAAAAAAAAAAGGGGGGGGGGGGCTCTCCCAGCTTGGATAATACTTTGGCTCTTCTCCCTTCTTTGTAATTCGAATGCACTCAATATACATCAGTCATATCACTGAGTGAAGACACTTTCCCTCATCCTCACTCTTACCACTCCCAAAGTCTCATAAGAGACATTTCTCACCATAAATGTCCATGTTTAGCTCTGTAAAAGCTTTTAGGATAGAAATGGTTCTCTCTTTGTTCACTGTTGCCACTGAACCACCCCACTTTATTGTTTAAGTTTCTGTTCCAAAGTCTACCATCCCAGTCTCCTAAAAATGAACCTATCCCGGATGATCAGGTAATAATCCTCACTTCTCCTGCTACTTCAGCCAATTTGACAGGGGATGCGCTCCTTTTCCCATCCTCCTGTTAATTAACCCAGCAATTCTTCCTTCTCACCTCCCCCAAGCACTTATCAGCCAGATCCATCCTTATAATACATCTCCGTCTCAGGTTTCCACGAACTCCCCAACCCGATCATCTCACACTCCCGCTTCACCGAGTGGGCGCTCCCGGCTTTCTCTCGCACTACAACAGGCTTTCTAATCGTATCCATTGCCTACGCGGAAACAAGTCGCCTGGAGTTCAACCGGGTGCGACCAGAGAGGAAGCTCCCCACCCCCAAGTCGCCTAAACCAAACCAACCCAGCGGATCCACCAAGATTTCCAACCCGGTTCCCTTACCACCACCCACACACACACACGCCTCCTCCTCCTCCTCCTCTTCCTCACCCCACTCGAGGAAGTCGGAGACGAGCCTGTCCCTGCGAAGCGGCGAGTCGCGGCTGCACTCGGTGTAGAGCCCGACCAGGAGATCCAGCAGCCCCTCGACGCTCAGGACGTTTTCGTTGCGCCGGGGCCCATCCAAGAGCAGCTGCTCCAGCTTCTTCAGCCGCACCTTGGCCGACATGGTGGCGGCGGCGGCGGCGGGTGAGGAGGAGAGCGAGCTGAGCGACTGGTCGGTCAAGGCAGGAGGGAGAGGCCGAGCGAGGCGGAGAGGGAAGGCGAGGAGGAGGAGGAGGAGGAGGAAAGAGCCGCCGCCTCAGGCTCCGGGCGGCGGCGGCCAAGGCATCCGCCTATCCAGGCGCTCCCTTCTCAACGCCTTCCGACGGGCCCTGGGCCCGGCAAGGCTAGGGGGGCTGCTTCGCCTCCACGCTACGCCCACATTTTGTGAGGCCTTTCCGAAGAGCAGCTCTTCCAGCAGCTCCGCTCCAGGCCCGGCTGGTCCATCGGTTGGTCCCTCCCCTTCGGACCCGCCCTCTCACTTCGCCTGGCAACGGCTGAGGAGGAGGAGGAGGAGGAGGAAGAAGAAGAAGATGAAGTCCCGGCTTTCAGTTGCGACGGTCGCCGCTGAGAAGGCGGTGCGGCAAAGTCATGCCGGTGGTCAAAGCTGCCCTCAGCCCCCTCCCTCTAGTCTAAAGCAAGGCCGCCTCTTCTCAACTCAGCCCCGCTTCTCGTCCGTCTCCGCCCCCACCCGCCCCCACCCCACCCTCTCCGGCGCTTGGGAGCAGGATGGCAGGCACTGGGCGAGGGCCCTGGAAAAGTGGCCCGAGAAGAAGCCGGAAGGACTTGGTCCTCGCTTCTTGCCGTAGTTCCTAAGGAAACGCTCCCGCTGGCTGTGAGCATCCGGGCAAGAGGAAACTCGGGGAGGAGGGGGAGGAGGAGGGAAGAGAGCCGCGACTGGAAGGCAGGGAAGAAACCCTTTTCGGCAGATTCGCGAGTTGCGCAACCTGGAAACCCTCGGGAAGCAAAACAAACCGGCCGCTTTTCTCGTCACGTATCCAAACCCTTTTGCCAAGTGGATTGAACCAAGCAAGGCACAGGAATTCCCGTCAGCATATTCATGGCTCCCACGCCCCAAATGCTTTAGATTTGCTATAACTTCCTACTCGTTCCCGGTAAGGGCATCCCGTTTATAAGGACGGGGTTAAATCCAGGCGATTTGAGTAAATTTAGCACGTATTCGTTTACATATTCGAGGGTCGGGGCGTTGTGCGAATACAGACCTGTTCTTTTATATAGCGGATAATAACACTGGGCTTCTCTATTTCCATATCCCACCCCCGTAGCTTTCTGTGATTCGGCAGCTGAATAAGTGGCTGAGATTTTAACAAACTTATCAAATCCGCATAAAAATATATGCACGGCATTATTAAAATGTTCGGTTTCTGGTTTTAGTTGTTGTTGTCCAATTCTGATTTTTGCAGCCCAGATTCAGATTAACAGAGTTGAAAAGGACCTTGTAGGTCATCTAGCCCTTACAGCTCTGATTAAACTGGAGATTTCCAAGATACATTTTGGGGTACAGAATAACTGAGTTAGAAGGGATTTTGGAAATCTAGTCCAACCTCCTTCTCAAGCAGGAGATCCTGACCTATACCATTTCAGACAAATGGCAGTCCAATCTCTTTTTAAAAGGCAAGCCATTCCACCAGTTAATCAATCGTTCTCACTGTCAGGAAATGTTTCCTTAACTCCAGGTTGCTTCTCTTCTTGATTAGTTTCCATCCATTGTTTCTTGTCCTGCCTTCTGGTGCTTTGGAAAATAGGTTGAGCCCACCCACCCCCCAACATTAGAACACTGCTCTCATGTCGCCCCTAGTCCTTTTTTTCCACTAGACTAGACATACCCAATTCCTGCAACCATTCTTCATATAAACCTCCAGCTCTTGAATCAATAGCAATACCTCTGAGATTTATATACCACATCATAGTGCTTTACAGCCTTCTCTAAGCCGTTTACAATATTAGCATATTGCCCACAACAACCTGTGTTTTCATTTTATCTAAGGATGGAAGGCTGAGTCATCCTTGAGCTGCTCAGAATCGAACTCCTGAAATGAGCAGTGAGTTAGCCTGCAGTGTTGCATTCTGATCAGTGCGCCATCATGGTTCACTTTTGGAGCTCTTCTCTGCACTCTTTTCCAGAGTCTCTATATCTTTTTTAATATTGTAGTGACTAAAGCTGGATGCAACATTAAAAGTGTTGTCTTACCAAAGCAGTATAAAACAAACACTTCGTGTGGTCTTAATTCTATCACTCTGTTAATGCAGTGTAGGATTGCATTGGCTTTTTTTTTTGGAACCTGCAGCAGAGTGCAAGCTAGTGGTTGTACACTAGGTTCTCCAAGATCCCTCTTGCAATTACTGCTATTGAACCAAGTTTCACCTAATCTGTACCTGTACATTTGGGTTTTTTTCTTGCCTAAATGTAAAACCTTACTTTTCTCTCACTGAATTTCTTTTTGTTAGATAGGGTCCAGTGTTCAAGACTGTCGAGGTCTCTCTGGATCTTGAGTCTATCTTCTGGTCTTCCTTAGTCACACAGCTGTACGAAGCTGGACTTACTCTTTTACTTCCAATTCCCTCTTCCAGAATGTTTTTATGACATCTTCAACTAGACTACTCTGATGAGATTTCCTCATGGTCTCTCATCTAAATAATAACCAGGTCTTACTCTTTAAGATTTCAAAATTAGCCAAGTGGGGGTGATAGAGCCATTTAGTTGGGTCCAACTTGTGGATATCTTGAGATAAAGTCTGTGTTTTCTGAAGGGCTGCTATGATAGGCTTCAAGGTGGGTTTGATTTAAATCAAGTCAATTTAAAACATAATTTTAAAAGAGCAAGTCCTCTTCTGACCTGCTGTTGACTCACCAACAGTCCCAATATTGCAGAATATTTGTACCACTGTAGTTTGATATCACTAACTGTTCTTGTAGCTTTTTAAAATGAAGTTTCAAACTTCTGAATTCCTGTCAGTGAAATATATGTACATATTACCTTCAATCTCTTTCTACTAGGTGCTACACTTTACATGTATTAAGGTTATCATGGTCTGTTGAATTAAGCTTTAATTAGATGTTTCCCATATTAAGCAATATTCACATATGTTCATATATGACAATAACTGGATTCATAACAAACTCAGGCAAACTCATAATCAGCCCCAAATAGCATACTTCCGATGTTACATGCCAGTTATTTCAGCTGGGATTATATAACCAATTGTGCTTTAGTCAACAAATTACAGATAGCACAACTATGACTAGAACAATGTGCAGACCATCTAGCCTCAAGAACAAGGTGTTTGCATAATTCAAAATAGTGTCACATTTTCAGGTCGCTTTTCAGGATCATGCATACATAATTTCTGATGCAAAGTTTCGAATGCTAGTCAGCTCATGGAAATCTCTTAACTATTTGTTTCAGCTGCTTGTCTGGGAATAAAGAAATCAGGGATCTTCACACATACAATGGCTGCCTGCGTTCAGCCTTGTGAATCATAGACTATGCAGGCTTGGATTGGGGTGGTGCTGATAACTGAGGTGAATGCTAAAAATAAAAATGACTTGGCTATGAAGGGAAAAATATGTCCCAACAGTTCCTTTTTCCTGCCTGATTTTTCTGTGGAAAAATACAAACATGATTTCCTTATCTATCTTGTGAAATTATTCTAAAACTGCTTTTGCTAAACCTTATGTAAACGAAGTAATTTTTGCTGTGTCCACCAGCACCCTCCTGAAATATTCCTCAAAGTGCACATGTTTAACAATAAATTTTTGAAAAGGATTTCTAAACTAAGGTCTTTAGTTTAGGTAAACTAGTCTGGGTCTTTTGTTCTTGGCTGTTCTCCAAGAAATTTGGTAGATAATACAAGAGTGATATCCTGTGTTAGATGGCAACAGGAAGCTGTTTCAGGAAAGTCCACCCACAAAGATCATGGGTTTTAGACTAATCAGTTAAAGAAACCAGTGGGAAAATTGAGAAACACCAGTCCTCACATTGTAGAAACAACTCAGCTTACACCAGCTTTCATACACCAGCTTTTTCCAACTTGGTGCCCTTGAGATATTTTGGGAATGCAATCACAAATTTTCAGGCAGCATGACCATTATTGCCTGTGATAATTGATAAAAGGGAGGCATCTGATTGGAATAGCTACTCAGGAATGATAATGTAGTAGCCCTATTTCCCTTTTCCCTTAGTTGCCTCCCAACAGACAAGTAAATATTCCCGGCAGAGGAAATTTCTCCTACTCAGTCCCTCCATTCCTGGTGGTGCCCTGGCTTCTCGTGTTCAGCATCATTGAAGATAAAGCTGAATTTTATAGGTATTGTCTTTCCTACCTCCCTTGGGTCCTCTGTTGTTTTTTCATAAATTTGGCACTACAGTCTTGGGGAAAAGAGCCAAGTGGTTAAACAAACTGCAAAAATATGTCAGACTATTCTAAATGCAACACTTTTGCAGCATGCATTATATGTGCTCCCATAAGCTGACCTACAAGCCTCTTCCTTCCTCTGCTCTTCTTTAAAGGTGAAACTAAGGTAATGGAATTCTTTGAAATGTAAGTAGCATTCTTCTCACACACGCCCTGCCCACACAACAACAATCCAACATCCATGAATGTAAAATGTTATATTTGCAGATATCTTAGAAAGAAGTGTGCACCTTGAATGTTTGTGTTCTTGAAAATACTCACCTTGAGGTACATAATGTGCCCATTCAGTAGCCCTCAGCCAAAGTATTCCAATTACCTGTGAGGTACCTGATTAAATCACACTGTATAATCCTTTGTTCCATTCTCCAATTTTCATTGCAACAAAGTAAGCTTAGATGGGTTTTTAATAGTGATAAGCTTGAATCAGGAAAGGTTGTACTATATTGAAAAAAATGCATTTTTCCCTTCTAAGTGGTGGAGAGGGGGGGGGGTGGACATTGTACTTTGGCCAAAGACAAAAACAACAAAACAGCAGGGGACACTGTGTGAAAACCAGTATTGCTTGTTCAATTGGCTGCCTGTTGAGAACTGGCATAGGACCATCCATTGTTATGAAGGCCACTTAAAACACATTATGGATTTAAAGGAAATACTCAGAAATGTAGCAGCAAGATATGTCTGTTTTTTATGCGTTTATTCACAGTTATGTAATAGTAAATGGATAATATTGGCTTTCTTCCTCCACATCGGAAAAGATTGAGTACAATTTGAACATTTCCATTCATCCAAGCCTGCTGCGCTTCTCTATTTAATTGCTTTTATGTTCTACTTTTCATCCAGGTATTCAAAGCAGCTTATGTGGTTGTCTTCCCAGCTTTTTGATCCTCACAATAACCTTGAGAAGTATATTAGATTAGCGAATGGTGACTACAAGTTGCCTAATAAATATATAAACATATTGGTGCTTTCAGTTTTGGTCTTCCTGGTTCTCAAGCGGTATCTACAGAGATGTTATGGCTATACCACTAACAGAATTGACACATGTTCCAAAATATTCTGCTATTGATGTTTTCTCCCCAGAGACTTTTTTTTCTGCTTTTCTGTTGCTTTTCTGCTGGATCTTTTGTACTTCTCTGGGATACATATAGAATAGAATAGAATAGAACACAATAGAACACAATAGAACACAATAGAATCTAGAAGGAAGGTGACTGTTTTATATATATGAGCAGGGACTACTAACAGAATTTTGAAACTGACCTAAAGTAAATAAAAAACAAAATGAAATTGACAAGATTGCATTCTTTAGTAAGATTTTAAGTACTGAACTTTACTAGAGAATGGAAGGTAGTCTGAAAACGATGGAAAGATCCCTACTTGCACTAAGGGATTGCATGATGATTTCTTTATTATTATTTTTTTAGAAACCCCTAAATGTGTTAAAGGAGTTACATACATTTCAAACATTAAAATTTGCACAGTTCAAACCTATTGAAATTTCCACAGAGACATGTGCAAATAGCATATGCAGTTGATGATAGCTAGGGCCTGCAACTGAATCATGAATTTGACTGTCAAAAATTGTGTCTATTGCTGCAGTTATGAGACATGAATTTTGCACCGCCACTCTGTATCCAACAGACTCTATATGGCACTTTTTCATGTACCTACTAAGTACATTGTGTTTTCACAACAGTAGTGGACCACTCCTAATACGATGAGACAAGGTAAGTGGGATGTTTCATCTTTGAAATGTGAATTACATACAGATATAAATCATGGTTTATAAGTTACACACCAAGCTAGCAATCAAACAAGCTGCGTGATCAGGGGTGGGATTCTACCAGTTCGCACCTATTTGCTAGAACTGGTTGGTAACATTCTAAGCAGTTTGGAGAACCGTTTGTTAGAAGAAATTACTGGCCTAATCCTGTAAGGAAGGCAGGAAAGAAACATTCTGCTGTTGCTTACAGAAACTGCCTGTCTGTTAACCCTTATTACATTCTTGGCAGGACTAGACTTCCTGTCTCAGGAAAGTCTCTGGAGTTATTTTTCCCTCCTTTGCTGGTACTTTGCTTGTGTGGAGTGACCATTTAAAGTTACAAAGGCACTGAAAAAAGTGACTTATGACCGTTTTTCACACTTACGACTGTTGCAGCATCCCCACAGTCACGAAAGGCCAGGCGAGGAGATGCGTGCCTCAATGTGAGTGATATTGAGTTGGCCACACCCAGCCAATAACATGACCACCAAGCCATGTCCACCCAGTCACATGACCACCAAGCCACGCCTACCACGTAAGCCACACCCACAGAACTGGTTGTTAAAAATTTTGAATTCCACCCCTGTGCGTGATGGTACAGCACAATGAGGGAATCCCTCACTGATTTCTTATCATTTATTTTTATTTTGTTTTTCTTAAAAAATAATGGAATTAAGATGTGCTGTGAAATACAAATATACTAGTAAAAATCACAAGAATGATCATAACACAATGTTATAGTTCCCTCTATAAGAAATTAAGCTTTAATTTGTTCGTTTTACCAGTATTGTGGGATAACAAACATGGGGATAACAAATGCAATTTTTAAAAAACCTCTCAGAATTGAGGAATGAAAATAGATATTTCCAAATATTTTATAACCGTGCTCCCCAATCTTTCCAGTTCCACCAACTGGCAGCAGAGAGGACGAGTGGATGATTTCACATGCACAACAGAGGTGGTATTCAGCAGGTTCTGACCAGTTCTGGAGAACCAGTAGTGGAAATTTTGAGCAAATAGTACCTCTGACTGGAGATTTTACAGTATCCTTCCCCTGCCATGCCCACCATGCCACATCCACAGAACCGGTAGTAAAAGAAAAAAATGAATCCCACTGTACACAACCTAGTCCTGTGAATGCACAAATGGAACTTTGAGTGCTTACCTACTGCATCCTCTTTGCGGATGACATAAAACTATTCAACACCACTGACAATGCTACTATCCTTCAAAGCAACCTTGATTATGTGTCTGAATGGTCGAACATCTAGCAACATCTAGTCAACCAACAATGCTCTGACCTACACATTGGTAAAAAAAATCAGTACACCAAATACAAACTAGGTGGATATGACCTCATTGATGATCCTCACTCTGTCAAGGACCTTGGAGTTCTCATATCAAATGATCTAAGTGAGAGCTCACTGTAACAGCATTGCCAAAAAGGCATTAAGAGTTGTAAAGCTAAACTTACAAAGCTTCTCCTCCGGAAGTATTGAATTGCTAACTAGAGCATACAAAACTTTTGCCAGACCAATACTCGAATACAGCTCATCACTCTGGAATCTGCACTGCATATCAGACATTAATACAATCGAGCAAGTCCAGAAGTATTTCACGAGAAGAGTACTACACTCCTCTGCTCACAACAGAATACCCTATATCACCAGGCTTGAGATTTTGGGCTTGGACAACCTTGAACTACGCTGCTTACAGTTAGACTGAAGAGTAGCACACAAAATTATCTGTACAATGTCCTACCAGTCAATGACTACTTCAGCTTCAACCACAACAATACAAGAGCGCACAACAGATACAGGGGTGGGATTCAAATTTTTAACAACCAATTCTCTGGGCATGGCTTAGGTGGTGGGCATGGCTTCGTAGTCATGTGACTGAATGGACATGGCTTGGTGGTCATGTTATTGGCTGGGTGTGGCCAACTCAATATCACTCACATTGAGGCACGCATCTTCTCGCCTGGCCTCTCATGACTGTGCAACAGTCGTAAGTGTGAAAAATGATCATAAGTCACTTTTTTCAGTGCCATTGTAACTTTGAATGGTCACTCCACACAAGCAAAGTACCAGCAAAGGAGGGGAAAAAAACTCCAGAGAAGTTCCCGAGACAGGAAGTCTAGTCCTGCCAAGAATGTAACAAGGGTTAATGGAGAGGCGGTTTCTGTAAGCAACACCAGAATGTTTCCTTTCTGCCTTCCTTACAGGATTAGGCCAGTAATTTCTTCTAACAACCGGTTCTCCGAACTGCTTAGAATGTTAACAACCGGTTCTAATGAACAGGTGCGAACTGGTAGAATCCCACCCCTGAACAGATACAAACTCAATGTAACCGCTTCAAGCTTGATTGCAGAAAGTACGACTTCAGCATCAGAGTGGTCAATGCCTGGAATGCACTATCTTACTCTGTTATTACATCCTCTAACCCCCACTCCTTTAACCACAAACTCACCACTATTGACCTCACCCCATTCCTAAGAGGTCTGTAAGGGGCATGCATAACTGCACCATCGTGCCTACCATCCCTGTCCTATTGTCCCCATTTATTCGTACCTATTTCCTGTATTCTTACTCATGTTTATACTTATATCTGTTATCTTGTAAGTGATTGACAAATCAAATAAATCAATAAAAAATAAATAAGGTTGTCCCAAAGGTGCTTTTAAAAGAGGCAGCAGGACTTTCTGGTTTTTCTTTGAAGACATTTTGCTTCTCATCCAAGAAGCTTCTTCTGCTCTCCCCATCCTCCAGTCAGAGCTGAAGAAGCTTCTTGGATGAGAAGTGAAACATCTTCAAAGAAAAACTAGAAAGTCCAGTTGCCTCTTGAAAAAGCACCTTTGGGACTTTTTCAAAACATCAACTTTAACCTAAACATTGTAGAAGAGGGATGTCAGAAGCCCTGCAATTGTTGAAAATAAGTGTGCATGTATGCATCTTTGATACAGACATACACCTATGCCATGGTGGGATTCAACATTTTTTACTACCAGTTCTGTGGGCATGGCTTGGTGGGCATGGCAGGGGGAGGATACTGTAAAATCTCCAGTCAGAGGTGGT